CAACCCGAAGGCACGTGCTCAGTGGAGACTGGGAGGGGAAGTGATGGGGGGGCGGGGATTGTCCTCTGGGGAGAGTCAGATGAACTGGGACAGTACAGGGGCCTGGACAAAGGCGGAGCATTGGACTTAGGAAGATGTGATGACTTTGGCCAAACTATCAGCTTCGCCCACCCGTTTACTCGTCTGAAGTGGGGTTAACACCCGTCCTTACCTTGGAGTGTTGCTGGGAGGAAAGGAAGCAAGGCAGGCTCTTGGCCAGGTGCAGGGACCCGAATCCTGGGAGCCGGAGTTTTTCCTGCTCCAGGAGACTACATTTTGATCCAGAAGGGGCACAACCAAATAGGAGTGCCCTCTTCTCGTGCCCAAAGCTGGGGCTCAGCACTGTCCCGGCATTTGGAAGAGCCCATCTTGTGTGTGCGCTGCACTGCCTACTCATCAAACAGCTCTGGAGCTCTGGACCATCACCCCTTCCCTGAAAAGCGAAGGATTGCTCCCATTTATTGTCTAGGGGTATCGGGGAATTACAGCCCAGAGAGAGTGGGTGCTCTGCCCCAAGTTGCTCAGACTGCAAGAGGGACTGGAAGTCAGGTCTCCAGCCCAAGGCTTCCACTCTGCACATGCATAGCCCTGTTCCAGGTGGGGAAGGGGCTTTGTCTAGGCCTCCCTGGGACTCTGACCCGCATCTTTTGGGGCTCAGACCTAGGCTGGTGCTCTGTGTACTGGCCCACTGGTCAGCCTCATCTGGGGCAGCATGAGGAGGGGGGACTTCACAACCAATCCTCGCCCCCTCTTGTCACTCATCCCCTGTCCCCTGGTGGACAACACAGGCTCAGCTGAGAGCCATGCTGGAGATCAACCGGCAGCAGGCCTCCCAGGCTGAGAGCCAGCTACAGGAGCTGAAGCAGCGAAGCAGCCAGATCCAGGTACCAGCCTGCCTGTCCCCTCCCACCACTTCATGTTGTTTTTCAGGCAGCCACTAGCTGGTCCCTGGGACACTGGGCAGTAGGTGTGAGCTACCTTGAAAATGCTTCCTGGCATCAGGGAGTGAGGGGCTGAACAGGGTAAAGAGGTTCCAGGGATCCTAGCTCCCCATAGCTGCACCCCTCAGCTCAGTGGGCAGCTGTGGCCCTGGCCACCCTAGGCTCCTCCTATACCCACCCAGAGCTCAGCCTGCACCCTGGCTTCTGTGGTCTCTGGCAAGTTCAGCCGCCTGCTGCAAGCCCTGGAGATGCGTCGGTTCCAGGCACTGAGGGACATCGAGGTGGGCAAAACACAGGCACTGGCACAGGCCCAGGAGGAGGAACAGCGACTACAGGGCCACCTGGAGGCCATGGCTCACTTTGACCACAGGATCTGCGATCTCCTGAAGCAGTTGGATGACCGAACTTTCCTTCAGGTACCAGGGCAAAGGGCAGCAGGTTGGGGTCCAGCATGCCTGCCCCTTGCACCCAAGCTTACTGCAGCTGTTCCTGGGACTCAGGCATCACAGCACCTGGCACCCCTGGGGCCTCTCGGGCCGCTGACCCCTCCACTGTGGAATGAAGATCAGCAGCTGGGGGGCCTGAAGGAGTTTCTGAGCCAGCTTTCTGTCGTCCTCCTGGACAAGGAGGACCCCCACGGGGCACCAGCTGAGGCTGCTGACTTGGGTCCTATAGGTATGGCTGACCCCAGATCTCTCTACCCCTCTGGGCCCAGCTGTCCCTCCCACTAGGTGTGGGAGTGGAGTTAGGGCCCAGCTCCCCATGAGCTCCCCTCCCATCACTCCCCTAACACTGCTTTGTCCCCCAGAGGCCCCAGGTGCCCTGGCAGTGGTCCCAAGCCCGGTTTGTCCGCTGAGGAGGAAACTCTGGCAGAGTAAGGAGGCCCAGCATATGTGTGTGTACCTGTATGTGCGTGAAAGTGCATTGTGCACACGTGTGGATACGTCTGTGTTTGTGTGCACTTGTGAGTATGTGTGTATGTGGCACGTGCTCTGACTGTACTGTCCATGCCCTTCCCTGGGTCTGGCCTCACCCCCCTACATGCCTGTCGCAGGGTGCACACCTCTTACACATGGAGCCAGAGTAGTGTTTAAGGGGATTCCAGGCACACAGATCTGGGATCAATCACGATTCTTCCACTACTGTCCAGTTAGTTACTTTTCTGGGCCTCAGTTTTCTCATCTGTGAAATGGGGCTAACAGAAGATTCCACTCAGAGGTTCCCGCCAGGATTGAATGCTCACTCAGCTTGCAGTGAGCCAGGCAGGTTCGTGCTCCGTCGATGGAGCTTTGGTTGTCATCTCTCCCCTCTGGGGACAGGAGGGTGGACATGCACAGGCACCCTGTCCACTCACCTTCAGTCCATCTTTCCCACAGATTATCGCAATCTAACCTTCGACCCAGAGAGTGCCAACCGCCACCTTTACCTGTCTCGGCAGGACCAGCAGGTAGAGCACCGGCGAGAGCCCCGGGGCCTGGCTGAGCCAGGCAGCTTCGAGCTCTGGCAGATTCAGTGTACCCAGAGCTTCAAGTCTGGGCGGCACTACTGGGAGGTGCACACATCTAATCACTTGGTGACACTGGGCGTTGCCTACCCGGACCTGACACGGCACAAGGTGGGGCCCTACACAGACAACATCGGCCGCGGGCCCAACTCGTGGGGGCTCTGTGTTCAGGAGGATAGCGCCCAGGCCTGGCACAATGGGGAAGTCCAGCGCCTCCCAGGGGTGCCAGGGAAACTCCTGGGCATGGACTTGGACCTGGCCTCTGGTTGCCTTACCTTCTACAGCCTGGAGCCCAAGACCCAGCGCCTGCACACCTTCCATTCCATCTTCACCCGGCCCCTCTACCCTGTCTTCTGGCTCCTGGAGGGTAGGACACTGACCCTATGCCATCGACCTGGGGCCAAGCTCCCTTCAGGGCTCCAGGAAGAGGCCTCAGGGCTCAGCTGAGTAAGGCACAGGATGGAACTCCAGGCTGGGAGCAGGTGCCACCATCCTGTGTGCCCAAGAGTTGCCCCAGCTCCTGGCCTGGGGACCCGAGGCCACAGCTATAATGGGACCAGCTGTTGGCCAGCAGACTGACTTGGGACCAGGTTGGTCCACTTGAGGGGATGGGGGGGACCCGCCCAAACTGAAGTTTACTTTTCTAGCCTCTTTGAAGGAGCTGGGACTAGGAATGGAGTAAAATGGGAGGCCCCTGCCCCAGGCAGAGCCCAGTTCTAGAGCCCAGTTATAACTATATGTATATCCAAGATGAATATTTTTGAGCAGGGAGCTTTGTACAAGCCATATTTATTTCTTTGTATGTACATGAGCTAAAGTGGAATTGCTCAACAGAAAAACAGTGAGCATTTGAAGATTTTATTTTCATACAAAAGACCAAAATGAAGCCCCCTTGAGTCAAGTCACTTGCCTCCCTCACTTCTCTCTGCCCACTGTCCCCACATCACATCAGCAGAGTTGTGGCTGCGCCTCGGCCGTCATCCCTACCCCACGTGGGGATTATGTGCACTGAGACGCATTAGTGCCAGCACAGCGCTAGGTCCTTCTGCTTGGGAACATGCTTCCGTAAACATCCCTGCACATGTCTTTGCTTGTGTTTCTGGCTGTGGGGCTGCTGGGTCATAGGACAGCTGTGACTTTGTTACTGGAACCGTCCCACTTCTTGATCTGGGTGGTGATTACAAGGGTGTTTGCTGTATTTTATTTTTTAAATACGTCTTTATTGATTTCAGAGATAGGAAGTGAAAGAGAGGGACAGAAACAATGATGAGAGAGTCATTGATCGGCTGCCTCCTGCACACCCCCCGCTGGGGATCGAGCCCAGAGCCCGGGTGTGTGCCCTGACTGGGAATGGAACCATGATCTCCTGGTTCATAGGTTATTGCTAAACCGCTGAGCCACGCTGGCCAGGCAAGGGTGTTTGCTTTATAACTTCTTATACTGTACATATAGGTTTTATATACTCGTGTAAATATTTCACAATTAAAGTTTTCTTAGGCCCTGGCTGGGTAGCTCAGTTGGTTAGAGCATTATGCCAAGGTTCTGGGTTCTGTCTCCGGTCAGGGCACATATAAAAATCAACCAATGAATGCATAAATGAGTGGAGCAGCAAATTGGTGTTTCTCTCCCCCTCTCTCTCTTGTTCTTAAAAAGAAGTTTTTCTAGAAGATAACATGTGCAAAAACACATACTCCAAAAAATACAAAATAATTTTTTATTTGTTAGAAATGTATCTCCCTCCCACATTGATATCTGGCCTTGGTCACTGCGATGGTTGCAGACCCCATCTTGTGGCCTTGGTCCTCAGCGGCGCGGCTCCCTGGTGAAGGACAAGGTCAGGCCTCTGACTGGTGCAGCCTGCGCAAGGAGCTCCCAATAAGATCCCTAAGGTGGGGAGTTCCCCAAACTCAGAAAGGGGGGTTTCTAACACTGGGCAGCCTGACAGAGTAACAGAGCAGTCAGGACCTCAGTGAACCGCCAAGTGGAGGCCCCGCGGGGTAGGAAGCAGGACTGGGCTGGCCACACGGCCATCACTGCTGGCTGCCTCAGTGCAGATTCCAGCCATACCCTCCTGACCCCAACGCCCCAACACATGTGTCCAACAGGCTGAGCCCACACTCTGGAAGGGACAGAGAAAAGAAGACTGGCTCCGTTTCTATGCCCACGGTAGGAAGCGTTTGGGGCCATTTATTCTATGAATTTACTTTTTTATCAGCTTGTTGGTCCTTTCCACATTGTTCTGTGGGAGTGTTCTGTATCGTGACTATTAACCTTTATGTCGTTGATGGGATGCTACTGTCATTTCTATAGTGTGCAGTAGAACAGTGCTTCTCCAGGTGTGGGGACAAACATTTACAAATCTCTCAGAAAGCTCCTTCAAATTCAATTCGCTCAGTCCACCTGATTCTGACAGGAAAGTGCATTGGTGTAGGGGGAAAGGAAGCATGGACTTCAGGGTGTAGCGTGAATAGCCAGTGGATGTTTCCAGCATTTCTACCCCACTGCGCACCATTTCTGGGCCTCTGTGTGGCAGAGTCGGGAGGGTGGACACACACACAGACCAAGGGCAGGGCGGGGCAGGAGAGATTTTTACAAGACAGGGACCCTTACCACACAGGCTATATTGTCAATATTGTAATAACTATGTATGGTACCAAGGGGGGGGGCTGGAAATATAAGGGGGAACACTTTGTAAAGTATATGATCGTCTAGCCACTATGCTGTGCACCTGAAATTAATACAAAATTTTTAAAAAAATAAAAATAAATAAAAGGCAGAGGCTTAGGGGCCAATGGATTTGGAGGGAGTTGGGTTGGAGGGCAGAGAAGTAAGGGGTAGAGAGGAGGCCACTCTCTTCCAGGCAGGACGTGAAGGAAGGGAGCAGCACAGCAACTGGGGGAAACATGGCTTCAAATCACAGAGGACTGGAAGCTAGAAGACAGTGGAGCCGGGCCTTTGAGATTCAGAGAGGAAGGATTTCCATTCAAGAATCTCATACCCAGCCAAACTGTCAATCAAGGATGAAGCCTGAACAAAGACCTTTGCAGGCACTTCCACATCTAGTCTCAGGAAGTTCCCAGGGGACTTTTCAAAAGTAAAGAAGTAAATCAGTGAAGGGAAGGGAAGACCTGGGACCCAAACAATGAAATTCAACGTGAAAGATAAGTAAATAAGAATCGAAATCTCCAGAAATCCGAGCGTAGCATCCACACAGAGGCTCAGGGCTCATGAGTGTTTGCTTTAGAGATGTGGAGGTAACTGCTGAAGGAAACTGGCTGGCTGTGGGAGCAAGAATCTGGAGTATGTGGGGCACAGGACTAACAGTTTTTATCGTTATAAGCCTCATTAAATTGTTTATTTTTTAAGTACTCTAAATACATTATTTGAAATAAATACAAATCCAGTTTTTAAAAATTACATCAAAAGCATAACAAAAAAGAACGTGGATTGGATCCCATTGCAGTTTCTTTCAAAGATGCAAGCAGGGCTAGGATGGCTTGTTAATTATTCTCGTTGGCTGAGCTGCTTTGGCTTGGTTCATTTTTGCTTCTGTTCAACTTCTTTTATTTTTTTAAGCAGTACTGCTGCCAGAGGTTGCAGGTGAGGTTTAGGATTATTTTCAGCTTGCACCTTGTGGGTTTAAATTCCTCCTCTGCAGGACTAGTTATGTGGCCTGAGGCAAGATATGGAGCCTGTCGGAATTCCATTTCTCATCCTTCACAACAGTCCTTGTAAGGGGAGAGGGAGATACGGGCGTGACTGTGCTCCAGCGGAGCTCAAAGTGCCAGTTACCATTTCCCCTTAAGAGCGAATTCTTTTAAAAAGGAAGGAGTATACTGGGCAAACAACTTTAAAGCTATGATAATGCAAATGAAATATCGAAATGCCACCGCCCTGACAAATCATATCTCCATGCCTTCCTGCGGGAAGGGAGCACATCTTCCTGAACAGGCTGCAGGGTGGGGAGCGGAGGGCCAGCTGGAACTCACCCGAGCACCCCCAACCTGAGAGGCACCCCCTCCCCCTCCAAAATCAGGTAGGTCTGTGGTCTCCGCAAGCCCCCGCTGCCAAGCCACGGAGCAGGGTGGCACTGATGCCTGAGCCTCTGAACCGTTCCTGGTCTTGGCAAACAAGGGCCAGTCATGATGAAGGGTCCCCTGTGGAAAGCAACTTATGAAACTCATTACCGCCTTCCTGCCAAACCGGGCACACCCAGGCCGGCTCCCTCTGCTATTCCTCCTGCCCCGAAGACCTTTTCCCGCCTTAGTTTCTGCACGCCGGAGTCCTAGCAGCCAGTCGGTGAAGACCCAGCTCAAAGGTCACTTCCTCCGTGATGCCCCTTCCTTTATCATGAATCTCCCAAGCAGGAGTGGATAGCACCTCTCTTGCAATGTTTAATAGATCTTAGTTTTCTTCCCTCCTACCAGGGAAGATGTCAGGAGGCTCCGCATAGCATATTTCTAAATTAAATACTCTTAACCTAGGGTCTTGGGGGGAAAGTCTATATTTCATTGTCCTCTAGCTGAAATTCAGCATTTCTTTGTTATGAATGGAGAGAACACACCACAAAGCTATTAGCAATACCTGTGACTTGTCACCAATAAAAATTACAGGCATTTTCACAGCATGTTACAGTGGTGACAGAGAATTTGGAATATCATTTATGTTCATCACTGTTTCAAAAATAAGTAACTGCTAGGCCTCCATCAGATCTTGTTATTTATTGTGTGAAAGATACACATATATAACTTTATCACAAATTTGTTTTCTTAATGTTTTGTACCTGTATTTCAATGTAATCAGTTTCCAAAGTAAAATGGTTAGTAAAGTTATACTTAACATTATTAAAGTATAACTTACAATAAAATGCACCATTTTAAGTGGATAGTAAGATGAGTCTTAACAAATGCCTCCACTCGGGGAACCCCCGGCCCCCAGCCCCAGGGACACCACAGGTGCCCAGGCATGTCCATGGACGGGAACTGAATTCCTCATTCCTTGGAAGATGACATCAACTTCCCATTCCAGGTTTAGAAAAATCCAGATTCCCCACCGGGGGGTGAATAGAGCCACTAAAGGACAAAAACGCGCGCTCATCCCCAGTTATGTTCTCTGCAGTCAGCAGCTCATGCACTTTGCTCACGGTGCAGAGAAGGGGCCTGGAAGACGAAGGTGCTGGCGCAACACAGTGGCCGTGCTGGGGGAGGCCGGGGTAACGCGGGGTGAGCTCCCCAGCGTCCTTCCATCGTGTTCCCCTCCTCCACTCTCTGGGGTCTCCCGCACGCCGTGCGGCAGCGCCCTCCGCTCGGACTCGCGGGTCCAGGAGGGGCCATGGCCCAGGAGCCCCTGGGAGCCAGGCGGGGCCCAGGGCCGCCCCGCGCCGTCAGAAAC